GGATATCAAATTCATAAATTAGTTTCCACAAAGAACCAAATTGTTCACTTTTAAGACGTTACTGTTGTGATTAGTAACTGATTGGTTATTCTTTATTAACTGGTCATAGTTCACAAGTAGTTCTCAATGAGGATATTTTTACTTAATAATTATCAAATATCTAATAAGGAACTACCTTTGTCCTAAATTTGCTACTACTTACTGCTTAGTTAATCTCACTTCTCTATTAGTTAACAGTATTAAGTTAAGTGTTAATGTAGTACTACCTAGTACTTCCTGCATAGTTACTTGTTAACAACAGAGCATTACTCTAAAGTGTTACCATAACTTCTAACAACATAACTTCTTAGATTGCATACTAGTATAGCTAAGATAGCATCTCAGTGGGTAAGGATGAATCATGAGAAAGGGGAGGGATCAGCCCAGAACTACAGGGGGGAGATTGTTAATGATCTTAAGGCAGTTGGGACCACAGTCATCAAGCAAAACATTTGTAACACACTACACCGCAATGGACTCTTACCTTGTAGGATGGAGTCAGAGCAGCCAAGAAAAGTTTACAGATGGACACACACAAAAATGCATTGTATTTACATCTAATAATCAAACACTATTGTTGCGGCACAGTAATTTTATAATAATGTAATAGTAACTAATAGAGCACAGTAATTTTAACTAATAGAGCAGTTTCACCTATAACTGTGTTAAACATAAGTGCTCACTGGAGAAAAAAAATAATGTTAGAGATACAGATAATACAGTGCATAAGTATTTCAGTCAAGCATGTGCATAAGCAGTTCACTCAGTTTCATTTCTTAAGCAAGGCGTGCTTTACAGTGTCTGCTGCTGTGAATCTCTTTTAGCCGTCTGTTGTCTTCACTGCACTCAGGGACCTTTAACAGAACGCACAGTGACTGTCACATTTCAAATGAAAAAGCAAAGTCCATTTGCAACTGAAACATCCCATGGCTTACGAGTTATGAGCCTGTCATATTTAAATAACAATATCAATTACCACGTCTACTTTATCACTCTCTCTGTGTCGCGCATGTAATCTGCCAAAACTCAAATGGAATCGCAATTCCTTTTGCATTTGAATTTCTGACATCAACACGGAAAGCTGTCAATCAATGTGAGGGCCGGGGCTATACTAGGGACGTGTTTGTATCAGGAGGTGACGTGAGCGCGAGATCCCGATTAATGTATGTGCATATTGAGATTTGTTATGCTGGTGTGTATGTCTAGGACGCGATGGGTCCTCAATAAAGTGACTTTTGGAGAGTACTTCTTTTAGAGTACTTTTGGCTCCTCTGTGTTTCCTTTTTCCAGTATCTCAAGATACTACATATGGCGACGAGGATAAACAAGGAGATGAGGATAAACAAAGACAGATAAGGATGAAGCAGTGGTTTCAGAGATGCAAGGGAGAAACAGGATGCTGAAGCAGCTGAGCTGATTGAAACAAGTTGCTACCACGTGGAATGATTGATTGAAGAAACAATGGCTGGAATGGTTGTATCCGTAACACCATTTGATAGTAAGTCACAATCATGGGAAGAGTATTGTGAAATATTGAATTGAAACGAGCCATATTGTTAAGTTGTGTTGGAGAGCAGACGTACACATTGATGAGGAATTTGCAGACAAACCAGATGCAAAGAGTTTTGAAGAATTGGTGAGTTTACTGAAAAACAACTTTAATCCAAAGCCAAGTGAACTAGTTCAGAGGTGGAAGTTTATTTCAAGAAACAGACGCCATGATGGAAGCATAGTAGAGTATGTGGCTGAATTAAGAAAACTTGCACAAGATTGTAATTTCGGAGACACACTCACAGTTATGCTGAGAGACAGATTAGTGTGTGGTGTTAATGATGACAGCATACAACAGAGATTACTGGCTGAGTTAATACTCGATGGATTAACGTTTGAAACTGCACTGAAGAAAGCTCAGGCTGTTGAAACTGCAAATAAGGATATGGCAGATTTGCACTGAGAGAAAGGAAAGTGTGTGTGTACTACTGTTTTCAAGATGGACACTGAAGAAAGAAGTAATTTAAAGGGTGCAGGAATGTGTTATCGATGTGGGAGAACTAACCATATGTCAAAAGACTGCAAGTTTGCCAAATAAAAATGTTACAAGTGTGGTAAAATTGGATTAAAGTGATCGATCACTATTAATTTCATTGCCCGTTCTGACTCTGAACGTTGTTTGTTCCTTCAAGTCGCCTTTATTTATATAGCGCTTTTAAAAATACAGATTGTGTCAAAGCAACTTTACAGCATTAAATGGGAAAATAGTGTTAATAATCCAAAATGACAATAGTAAACACTCAATTTTCAGTTAAAGGCAGTTCATCATTGAATTCAGTGATGTCGTCATTCAGCTCCGTTCAGTTTAAATGGTGTCTGTGCAATAAAGTCAACGATACAGCTGGAAATTAAGTGTCTCCAACTAAGCAAGCCAGAGGAACCAAAACTCCATCGGTGACCGAATGGAGAAAAAAAACCTTGGGAAAAACCAGGCTCAGGCAGGGGGCCAGTTCTCCTCTGGCCAGACGAAACCAGCAGTTCAATTCCAGGCTTTGGAATTGTGGTCTTGTCCTGGTGGCCATCTAGGAGACAAGGTCCTCATTGGGGATCTGTCTCTGGGGCTCATCTAGTTGTTCTGATCTCTGCTGACATTTAGGGCTGTAGAGGTAATCTCTAGGTGCTGATCCACCATCTGGGGTGAATATAGAATGAATGTTTTGTAAGTGAAGCAAGTAAAGACTTTATGACTAAGAACGGAATAACCCATGTTACTTCTGCACCGTATCATCCCTCATCTAATGGTTTGGCAGAGCAAGCAGTTCAAACTTTCAAAGACGTAATGAAAAAAGTTTGGGGAACATGCTGGAGACCAAGTTACATAGAGCTCTGTTTAATTATCGTATCACACCCCAGTCTATAACTGGACTGTCTCCTGCTGAATTGCTGATGGGAAAAAAATTGTGTTGCACTTTAGACAAGATACATCCTGACTTCACTGGTACAATGAAAAGGAAACAACAAGTTCAGAAAGAGTATCATGATCAGCATGTGAAATCTCGTTATTTCCAGATTGGAGATCCTGTATTTCTATTTTATTGATATTTAAATAGTACAAGCTTATGTTGAACTATTCTTGTACATACAGGCGCTGTATTAAGCAGGACATAAATTACTGAATGAAAAGGCTTTCTGTTACCACATGTAAATGTCTAAAACGTTTGTTTATTTGAGAAATATATCTAACCAACTTCGCGGGAATCAGTGACTGCAGTGCTCCGTTTTCAACTCGTCCCTCGACTTCAAGCGGCAAATCTCGGCGAACGGTATTCGGCAAGTTCGTTTGAGATGCCAGATGCCTCTACCTGAACGAGGATGAGAATAGACAGCAGCAGTCATCCTCTAATCGTATTTGTGGCAGTTGTACAAGCATCTGGGTGAACTCCATGCTGGTAGCAATAGCGCTTTACTGTGCTAGCGGAAGTAAGCATACCCTGCTTCGTGTCAGAACGGAAGTTGCATGACATCATGTGAAAAGGGCCTATTGCCATGCTGGTGTGTATGTCTAAACGCTGCGATGGGTCCTCAATAAAATGACTATAGAGTACTTTTGGCTCCTCTGTGTCTCCTTTTTCCAGTATCTCAAGATACTAAACTGATACATACACATACTGTATACACAGAATTACAGTAATTAGGCTATTCACGCAAACATAATCTGCTATGTCTTAAGTGAATGCTTGGAGAATAATTGGGGAAAACATCTGATGTGTAATATTATTAGATCCATGCAGAACAGTAGGTCTTATAGGCTGTCTGTCTTATTAATGTTATCAACAATAAAAGAAAAGATCACTGCTCTTGATTGAACTGATTTTGTAGTTTTAATAAACAATTTATTTGTAATCAACACACTGAAGCGATTTGATTCTGATACTGTTAAATGCAAAGTAATATAAAAACACATTCACTGATGCAACTGTGCTATTTTAATTTCCTTACGTGGATCTGAGCTGCTTTGTCGAGCCGTAGTTACACAGGGTTCATGCCAGAGCTCTTCATCTCTCAAGTACAACACCGTA